TCTCAGAACTAATTTGTATAGATGACCATTGCAAACTGGCAAACAATACTTTCACTTAGTATTGAACAAAAATCCATTAAAATGTTTGTAAAAACAGAACATAAAAACATCTCTAAACAAATCATTTACGCTGTAAAAAAATATGGTATAAAGAGCGAGAGCTAAAAAAAACATTGAACCTGTTCACAGTATATATTTTACAAGTTACAGCATTTCAGTACAATGTACTTTTTCCCAGGTGACCTGTATGACTCCTCCAGCTCCACTGCTTTGTGCACCACAACAGGATCACAGTTCAAATTACTATTATGTTTGGGTGGGATTTCAGACAAGGGCCAGTTATCTTCTTTTTTGCTATCCCCTGTTTTACAAGCTTTTCTGACACACTATGAAGCATAAAATGTTGTTCAACTTAAGTCACTCTTAAATCACATTAAGGAGAAACTGTCAAGGTGACGTTCAAAAATGCTTTTTTTATTGTATTACTACTTAAAAGCGTGAGATCTCACCAGTTTCTGTTTTACTTTGCCCTGTTTGAGCTATTTATTTTTTCAGTTTTTCCTCAGCCCAAATAACCAAAGAAAGAACATTTCACTTCTTTTTACTTTCTGGCTAAGTTTTACTCTCTGGCTCCTACATTTTGCACCGTGCAGGACCAGCTGCGTTGCAACGGCACTGAAACTCATGCCAGTCAGTGAGTTTGTGTAAGTTGTGCCTGTATTTCCGTAGCAGCCTGCTTTCATGCAACAATAATCAAAGTGCAGATTTGGGACCTTCCAAAAACCTACCTAGAGATACTGCTAGGCAACACACGAACACAACAAGGATGCCAGCACACCGTTTAGGCGTAACGCAGGATGGGAGCCCCCCCCGTGGCTTGGCCGGTTCACGAAGGATGACATCCACCCCGTTTCCCTCAGGCGAGCACGGCTGCTTGCCTGGCCCTGCCTGAGCTGGTTCGGAGGTGCTCGCCCCTGGCGCCAGCTCGCTTTCCGCAGCGGCTCTCTGCCTGGCTCGCTGCACAGTCAGGCAGCGCTGGCACAAGGAAGGGGAGAGAGATTAACCCCATCCTCAGACGCAGCACCCAGCCATCAGACCAGCTCACTTCTCTTGGGAAGCGGAGCTGGCCCTCTGCAGCACGAAAGCCCTCTGCAGACTTTTTCTTGCTGTAAAAGTGAAAGAAGTTATTAGACATTTTTGTGGGGGAAAAGTATTGTTATGCGTCCTGGGACAACTTGTAAAGTTACAGAAAACTCTGCCAACATCGTCTGAGGTTTGTTTGCATAACACGCAAAAAGGAAACACACACTGGCTATCTTGGGGGAAATCCAGAGTTACATAAACTGGGGAGGAGGGAAATAAAATTGTTATGGAAGAAACTGTTTTCCAGCTTTTAGGAAGATACTTAAAAATGTACGACTGGCCTGAGCATGAGGAAATGAGTCTTTTAAATACGCCAACATTTCTGAATCTGTGCCTGGCATTTTGGGGTCTGGGATTGTGTTTCCACGTTTGCTAAGGAAAAGTCAAAGAAAAAGCCAACATCAAAAGCCAACGGCATCTCTGAACATTAATCACACAGGTCACCGTTTAATGCACAACGGCACGAACCTCGGTGCAACACGTTGGGAGGAGTGCAGGCGATAGCCTTTTCCTCAAGACGAAACTGCACCTCAGAAGGCATACACTCAAGTACAGGGATCTGACAAAAATGCTCTGAGAATTGCAAGCCAGCTTCTTCTGCAACACGCACCTAGGCACATACGGATGTAAGCACATATTTGCATAAGGAGTTAGGACCTTTCTTGGCATTAAAAATATTAGTGCCATTTGAAGAGAAGACTTCAAAGCGTGTGGTGGAATATGGGATGTTATTTACACGGGAAGCTCTTGACAGGTTTATGGTACGCAGAGCCTTCTTAGCAATTTGATTCATGAAATATTACTCACATTTTTTCTAAGTATTTCAAATTCTTTTACTATATTTCCATCTACTTATAGGTACAAATATTCTATTTACAATGAAATAAACTCTAAAAATAGAGCACACAATTTCTCATTTCCTCGTAACAGTGATCTCCAAATACCTTATCCCTCCAATGCATCCAATTGCCTTCATTTTTGCTACTATTCTCGGTAAGCAATTTCCTGTTCAACTGAGCGTCACGTAGAAGGATAACATCACAGGGAACCCCACAGCCCTAAGCTCCAGCTTCGCCCAGTTGAACTCACGCATATACACACACAAAAGGCTTGAGGGTGCCTCTTCAGAGCAGCCAAAAACCAGCAAAGGAAAGCTCTGGGGCCCCACACAAAGCAAAGAAGAAATATGCTGCGTTTGCCAATTGTGCCTTGGTGGACACCACAGCTACTGGTTCCCTTTGGACACGGTTCACCTATGAAAGTAGCAACTACGAATAATAAGGACAGCTACCACAGGAAATGTCAGTCATTAGGTCCTAAGTCTGCAGATGCAGCCATCACACAGCAGGGGAGATAATTCACTGCCTGCCTGTAATATTAGCTTACTCTTTTTGACGATATATTAGCTAGTAGTTCTGTGAGGTATATATCACATTCATATCTACAACCCCAATATTTAACACACAAATCAAGATCCCAGATCCCCCCACCTGTCAGTCAGTACAACAAAAATAATGAAGACGCTGAATAAGAGAGTGCACGCTGTTACATCAAACGTGACTGATGTTCCATGCATAAAGTGAACAGTATAAAAATCCATTACAAAAACCAAATCCAATTGTCACATATGACAGTCATGGCTCAAAAATAAAAAGCAGCAGCACCGATGATATGCTTCAGAAAGTAAATGCTTGATATTAACACCCTACATGTCTGAACACTGATCAAACACCGAGTTAAGAGTAACAGTGGTTTTGGACAGAATCCCTTCTGTTTGTATCCCTTCTAGAAGTATTTTTTTTTTTTTTAAATCAGAACTTTCCACTCTTTAGAAAAAAGCAAAAGGACAAAAGAACTAAAACACCAGCCAAAAACTATATTTAATAAAGAACTAAGATCTTTCAAAAAAAATGATGATTAGGAAACATAATACTTTTAGTTACTAAGATGTTTTTCGGAAATGAGGGGAAGGAGATCTGCCTACATCTAATTTGATGGAAGAGGCTCACTGGGAACTCTGAAGGCACCAGTTCAAGGAGTCTGATCCCTTCTGAAGCCCAAAGCTTTAGTCTTACACTTGTTATCAATACACTGGGAAATTAAACAGCACCATTCTTTGAAAGTAAATTTGGTATGGAAGACAAGTTGCTTCTCAGTCTACCCATTCTTTCAGATGGTTCACTTGTTTAACGCGTCACCGCGGCTCAAAAAGCAAGTCTTCCCTGACCGTCCCTGTCACGCAACTCTTACTCTTCCAGGCACCGAGAGGTGTCTTCGCATGGTCACTGAGTTAGCACACATGCTCTGGATAGTCCCACTACCCAGCTCGTATTTGCACTCGCTGCTGAAGATTTAAGATAGGCATTTGAATGATAGGCTCCCCACCTGGAGCACTGAACAGGCTCCAAGGAAACCACACAGCCGAAGCGACCGAGCTTTCAGTTGCTCGAATGAAAACTGCTTGCCGGTTCACAACCACTGAGCAGCGGTACACAGTGCTGCATACGCTGCACAAGCTTGTGCCTCTCCCCCTTTTGCCCTACCCTAGTGCTACGGATAAAACCTTACGGGTATGGTACGCCATTACTATTAAAAGGACTCATGTTCTATGTTTTTGAAGTCAGTCAGTTAAAACAGATAAACTTAAGGGAAAAAAAAGTGATGGATAATTAGATGGGAGCGCTTTGATAACATTGTGGCAGACCCTAAATTTGGGGAACTTTCCCCTAGCTTATCAACTAAGAAATCAACCAATTTAAAAAGCTGTTGCCTTTGCTGAAAAGGAGGGGCAGCACAGAGGAAAACCAGAGCGCACAGTGCTTGTAATTAAATGATCCTCCACGGAAGCATTGCGAAGGGTGTCTGGCTACTCTGTATGCACTCGGTATGTGCTCTGCAGTTGCCCAGGCTTCCAGTCTGCTGAGTTAAAAACCGCTAGCACACTCAAACTTCAGTTTGATCTCACTTCTTGCAATACACAGCCGTAAGAAAGCACAGTTATTCCTCAAGATCCGCTGTCCCAATGCAAAGGGTTTTTTGGCTGTTTGGATCATCATACAAAAATGATTGCTCTCCTGTACTGGAAAACTGCTCCGTAAGAAAAAAACAAAACAGAACCAAAAAAACCCCAAAACACACACACACACACACACAAACAACCCTCCCACACTACCCACGCATTGTGTCCTTGACATCATCTGCTTTCAATTAAAAGCATATGGCAGCACAATCTAAAATTCACCTTAGGTGCTAAACACATTAAGCCAATTCTGCAGCAGTGAAAAGAAATCTGCTCTTAAATGTGGTACTGCGAACTCTGGAATGGAAGGAAAAGGTCTTTCCTATTTGGATTTAGCCACCTCCCAGCCATCAAGCACAAAAGAGCAGAACTACCTCCTTTTATGTATTAATTTAGTGTTCTGAATACCAGGCAATAATAATTAGGCATCAAACTTTCTCTTGCAGTGATGTCTGGTAATATGGATACCAGCTATTTTCAGTGTCTCTCTGTCTTTTCACTTGCTTCTCTGTTAATTCCAAAATTCATCCTTGAATACTGAATCTCATCTGCACTTCCTATGCTTTCAGACAGATCTTGTATTCTGTCAGGTCTGTAAAGAGATCTATTTTTACTGTCTTCGCTCCTCCTGAAGGTGCACAGAGGCCGTTATTACTGATGAGGATTTGGACGCTATTTACTTTTTTGACTTTTTGTCAGTTTTGAAATCTCCCTATTCTTTCACTCTATGGAGATGGCACAGACGTTCCAATATCTGAAATTTCACCATCTTCTGCTGTGAGTAAGTTTAGCTCAAGGCTTGATTTTATTTTGGCAGCCAGATCATGTGGTTTTGTGGACCAAATATCTATCAAGCTAGCAGTCTTCCTGGTCTGTTCTCACTCCTTTAGAATGAGTAGCTTAGCAAATTCTGCCTCCCTATCTGTCTCAGGATCTTCTTTAGAAATCCATTCTTCCATCTTATTAATTCAAGAAGCCACAAGCCAGTTACAGAAATCAAAATTAAAAGAAAAAAATTCAGTTAGGACTTTATGGAGCCCCTCTTCGATCAAATGCCTTAACATATGACCTCTCACGACTGTGTTTTACAGTAAGGAAAAGGCAAATTAGAAAGCACTTTCTTGTGCAAGCTAGCGAAACTTGTTCGTGTGTGCCAGAGTCTGAAGTTTACACAGTGAAATGTTACAATCAGAGCTGCCTGGAGGTGCGCATGTGAAAACAAAAGTTTTCAAAGACGATTGTTCTGAGCAGTTCTGTAACCACACAAATTTACATCATCTAAGCTCTCTTTGTATCACATGTCTGGTAAAGGAGAGGTAGAATTAGTGGCACCAAAACCTCCTAAGGTTTCTCCCTGCCAGCAGAAAAAAAAATCCCACCTAGTACTCCCAGGGAGGATTTGTTGAGAGGGCCCTGTTCGGTAGATGCTGTGGAGAACAACCAGGCAGCAGGTGGCAAAGCTAATACAGTAAAGACAATCCTAGGAGTAATTTGTTCTCACAGAGCTAACATTACTGTCTCTAATTTCTGGCGCCAAACTGCTTGGTCAGCTAATGTTAGTAGATGTAGACTTCCCCATGGCTTACATCGGTGTGGAGTACAACTGAAGACTGATGAGCACTGTGGGAGAATGGAATATTGTACCACTTTGAGACAAGAGATCTGGAGCTGAAGCTACAAAAATACAAAATGCATTAGTGCAATACATTAGGAAATATTTACTCCTTAACCAAAGGATAGAAAAAATATAGAGCATTCTAAGGATTAAAAAAAAAAAAACTTTTAAACTTGACGCAGTTCTCATTGACATTTAAATCAGTGTTAGGCTTTTTTTTCCAAGTTTGTACCCCTGAGTCAAACATTGAACAAACATTGTACAGTAGGTACAGAAACTAGTGTCTAGTTAAAAAGCAACAGGTCTGAACGGCCATTGCTTAAGAAGTGTTAAACAGTGACAATACCCTTCCAAATGGGACCAAAAAAAAAAGCACTTTGATTTGTTCTTAGTTTATGACTAGATTAAAGAAGATCTCAAGAGTTTCCAACCATGTTGTTTCTACGTGTTAGGCTGAGGTTTGTGATAAATTAAACCTTTCGCTCGTAAGCCTGTTTGGGCTACATCTTTTGAGTACGCACAGTCAAGAACACCTACAACAAAGCTAAGCAACCTTTCTAAGTTATAAGTTGTATGAGACCATATTGATTTTTGGAACACTATGTGAGGGTAGGCAGAGCTCTTTGACTATGACTATCAGGAGATCTAAACTCAATACCCTTACATCCAATACATTTTACTAGAATAATAACTAAATGGCTATAACTTTGGCCTTTTAGTCTCTATTAAAATGGAACATTAACATTTTCACTAACTTAAACATGGTAACATTCAGCTCACTTGAACCTCTGCTGACTGTTTCCAAGAATAATTCGTGCCTTTTGCACTTTTCTTCCTCCTTTTTTTTTACAACATCAGGAATAAGAGCTTATTTAGAAGGCAGGTTCGGGTGCAATGAGGACTCACTGTTAATCATTTGGTTTGTTCTGAAAAAAGTGTGTAAAGGACCACCCTGCGTTACTGGGTTTGGGAGAATCTTCATCATCCTTTGGGGGGATCAAAAACTGTCGGGAGTTAATGGAGCACGGGCTACCAAAAGATGCATTTTCATTGTTGCTTTCAACTGATCCAGGCGAGTCTGGAGCGTCCACGTTCCAGGCATTTGTGTTTGCTTGAGGTCTGTAACCTGCAGTTTTATCTGATTCTTCCTCTGTAGCTGAGCGAGACTCTATTTTCAGAGCACTGATAGGCAGCTGCATTTGTGGCTTATAGCCTGCTGTAGTCACTAAGTCTATTTCTGGCTCCTCCTCTGGTTTAATTTGAGGCTGATACATTGACTGGATGTCAATGTAAATGACCTGAGATGACCCCACAGGTTCATCCATAGGGGGATTGGAGATCTCCTCTTCAATGATAGGGGGGCAGTAGGACACAACTACATGGTTCTCATTTTCTGAGTCAGAGCCATCCTCGGGCGCAGCAGTGTCTGCTGCTGGGGATACCATCTCTGTGTCTTCTATCTTGGGAGCTGCAGACCGTGTTTCCACCACTTCAACACTATTGGGGGTGCAGGGGTTCATTTCCAGTGTTTTAAGCGTCTTATTCCCCTGAAGTGAGAAAAAGGAGAAGGGGGAGAGACTAAGCAAAAAGATCAGGAAATCCTGAAAGCAACAGCTTGCCTGAATTAAAACAGTATGCTGGCTTGCGGCTTGCCTTCATACCACTTCCACTACTACAATGCAAAAAAGGGATTTAATTCTCATTTGCAGTCTCATGAATATTCACACATTCCTATTAACGTAAAAGTATTCCAGCTAACTTAAAGAGACTCCAGCTTTGGCAGTAAGTGTTTCAGAACTGCTTCCCCAAATCTCCGCTTTGTATAAGCCATTCCAGAAGGTTATTTAAATGTTATACTTAGTTCCAGCTATTAAGTGCATCAGAAGGTTGGGGACATGGCACATACACTTCTCCCCGCTTTCCGCTGCTCCTAACACCGTGAGGAAGATAACTATATGGGAGTAAGCTGGAACTCATCCCGTCTACTGAGACGTGCTATTACTGTGGGAGGACAGAACTGCAGCAGCGCTTTCCTTGTTCAAACTTTTCAAGTAACTACATTAACAACATGATAGCTCCAGATACAAAAAGTAACTCAGTAACTTGCCCTGTTCTCCCCCACCCCCGGGGCCACAGAGTTAATTTACAACTGCAGCAGAAGACTCAAAGTTTGCAGAAGACTCTTCTACTCACAATACCTTTTGTAAGTTTAAAATTCCAGGTTTAAAAAGAGCCTTACTTCACAGATGCTCTTCTGAAACTGCAGTGCCTTGCTGTTCTCAGGATTCGGGATCTCTGGATAAAATGTTTCCTTAATCCTTTAAAGAGGAAAGAAAGAACTTTTAGAAGCTACCAGGCCTAGAAACAGACTGACAATACAATAAAGGAGTCAGGACATTTCCCTTTAATTCAGAATACTCAAGACATCTGGCATAAAGCTTTAGCGTGTTTCACTTTCACGTTTCACTTGAGTATTTAATGGAAAGAACAGCAAACATTTTAACTTAGGAACTTGAAATGCCATCTTTACAAGTTGAAGATCAGATGTCTACCTGAGTCTTTGTGGACGGGTCACAGATTACATCATTTATGGGTCACAAATTAGCTCATTTACGCTTGGGGACTATAAACGGTGCTCACTGGGAGATAGGCTCCCGCAAGCCTTTTTCATTCCTAACTAACTCCGAGTTCTTTCTCACTTCTCTGCGACTCAGTTCCTTCTTCACCTTCTACCATATGTTTTCGCCCCCTGCTCTTAAACAAAGCCCTGTAAACCCCATTGACGTATTTGGGTATTCGGAGAAAACAAAGAGTAACTCAAATCACAGAAAACTCTAGCCCTGAAACAAACACATCCAGGAGAAGACCAGCACTGAATGCAGGCATTTACCATTCCCTCTTTCTGTAGCAAAAGATGCTGGCCACTACTCCAAGCAGAACAACCACTGCCACTGGGATGAGAATTGCAATGATTAATCCCACAGCTGGAGAGAGGAAAAAGAAAAAACAAGAAAGACATATCCCAAGTTACCAGCAAGGTTTATGGCTTTTGTAACATTCCTACAGACCAGAGGCCCTGTCACCTAACCAGAAACTCACTTAACAGTGGTCTACAGTGACCTATACCATATACTTCCCCTTTGCCAGAAAGGGAAAAGTCCATCTGTAAAAGGGCCGATTCACGGATCACTGCAGAAATCAACATATATTTCTCTCTGATTGCTTAATTGAGAAGAGCTTCAGATGAAACACAAGAATGATTGTAATGTAAGCTCTGTTCTGAGGAAGCACTAGAATTACACTTTCAGGTTACTTGAGCTGGCCACATCTCTGGTAATGGCTCTTACAGGCCACCAATTCATTGCACACACTGCACTGCTTTTTTCTGGTTTACAATGCTTCTAATCCCCAGGGTTACTCTAAGATGTTCCCACTGTCTTTCTCCACTGATGCTAAGTGCCTCAGGTTTGATTTTTCATGTATTTTCACTGAACCCCGACGCTTCCTCTTCCCTTCACGTGAAACACTTTTTAAAATTTTCTCATCCTCCAAAGCTGATCTCTTTCTGTAACTATCTTTCTGGGTTTGCTTCTGTCAGGGGATCGATAAAGCTGAAATCAAAGCAGAGAGGCATCTGTTTATAATTCTGAAACTGGTAAATATTTCCATAATGCCTTTCTTCCCACCATTTATTAGCAGATATTCATCATGGGAAACTTGACAAAAACAACTAGCTGCTTGAAAAGACTTAAGACTCCACCATGTCTAGGATTCTTCTTGCACACATTACCATGAACTACATGGTAGCTATGACAGGAACAGACTTTTTACAGCAATTTTTACATTTAAAAATAAACAACTAAATAAATTAAAATAAAAAGCAGGCTGCAGGCCCAAACTGCTTGAAGGGACCAGACAAAAGAATCTCAGCTTTATATACATTGTACAGCCCCTGTCCCAAAGAATATTAATGAACAGGGATATTCAACTTACAATCCTCCTTTGTCACCACATAGAGGCTATTTGGAGGGCTCATCCCGCCAGCAGTGTAGGCTTGTAGGTCCAGCTGGTAGCTTGTTTTGCCTTGAAGATCAAGTATTCTCAAAGACTTTTTTGTTAAGTCAGTGATATTCTTAACTTTAAGTTCTGGATTCCCTGTTTGTTTGGAAGAAGTAAGAAAAGAATACCTTGCAGTAAGGGATTCTCAGATCACTCTCAGCATAAGCATAGCAAGAATTTCTTAAAATCAGCATATTAAGCCTGCAGAACAGTCTTTGGAAAGGAGAGAAGTAGAGATTCCCAGGAATGCCACTCAGCCGCAGAACAGCAAACAATACAGTGCGTATGTTGTTGCTGTAGACTGGTTTGACTTTTTACACTCAGGTTTATCCTATTACGTTAATGAGCTAGTTCTGTACAGTTCTGTACAGACATGTCCTTACAAGCCGGGTACTGGAAGAATATACCCTATTAAATATAGCCACGTAACTTCCTACCCGTCCTCTAGCTGGTGCTTGTGAACACAGGGCAGTGTGTCACACTGCCTCTTAGTCACTGCACAGCTTTATGGCCTTGGTGAGTCAGTGTTTTCTCTGACTTTTGCCCTATATTAAAGAATAACTGTGCTACCAACACAAAAAGCTGATATTTGAAATGCCTTTGTCACATATTAGGGGCCGATTCTGTCACTGAATAATGCAACTGAACTATAATTAAAACATCTTTTTTTCTTTTTTTCCCCTCAAAGTGGAATTAAAACTATTGGGAACTAAAAACGGCTAAAATAGGAAAGTTGCAATCTATAGATTTCACTTACCTGATTCTGAAAGCCTAGGCTTTAAAGCATCTTTTTCACCTTTTGCAAAGGAAAGCCGATATCCCTCTAGAAACCCCTGACAATCCTCAATAGGAATGTCTTCCCATTTTACCAATATAGAATCTGAAGATGTTTCTTCTACAGTAAAATTTGGTGCACGTTTTGGGGCTGCAGGGAGAATTATACAGGAAAAAGTTAGTAAGAATCTACACTATCATAAAATGCAGACTCCACATAAGTGTTGCATTCGTTTTATTTCAGAGCTAATATGTTTGACTTTTTCCTGAATACTCTTCTCTCTTTCTCAAGGACATGTAAAAAAACTGAGTAGGTGATACTACAAGGCAATCAGTATTTCTGCCTCCTTATGAGTAATTACTGCAGTATTATCTACCAACAGAAGCTGAACGAAAAACATTTCCTTAGACAGCCTTCTTGTGGACACATACGTGTAATATACCCCTCTCCCTGCATCAAACCCAGAAAGTTTGCATAAACATTCTGAGCATGCAAACTGAAGTGTTTATTTTTTTAAGGCTTTAACTCCGTGGCTACATTGCTTGTATTGAAATTAAACAAAGTTCACATTCCTATCAAGGAAATCTACCTTAGCTTAAAAGAATTAGTCGTAGCAGGCATGGCAAATCCTTATTCCAATATCTCTCCAATATCCCACTGACAGTATCACTGCACATATTGTGTACAGTCACACAACAGGACGTTGACTGATATTTGTCACCAATCTGTGACTATCTACCAAAGCTGAACTCATGTTTAAGAATGCAAACATTTTGTCTTGATGGCTATCCAACCAAAGGCAAATACGAAGTTTTAGCATAAATCTGTACTTTTCAGCAAAGTGAATACATTTCTCAATTCCTAATAAGCTTCTTTTCAGTGTCCAATGGATTTCCCCCCAAAAAGCCTTTATTCTTTTATCTTGAAAGCTTCCAATTCTGAGAAGAACCCATATGAAAATCCTTCTTCCAAGAGACTGTTCAGGATTTTTAAAAGAGATGCAAAGGGCTGAAAGTTGAGTTTTTGGTAAAATTGCCTTACTCTAATCTTCAGTCCTTACAATAAGGATATTTCCATGGCCTCAGACTGTGTGATCAGCTTAGTTTTCCGAGCAACTTATTCCAGCAAAAACATGTTAAACTTGAAAGTGAAATGGTCTAAAAAGTGCATTCAATCAGCAACGTTGTGGACACCTCTTAGATCTGCTAAGCTGTACCGCATGTGCTCAGAAGTTTACTTTGACTTTGAACCAAGAAAAGTTCCTTCCCTTCCCAGGGAAGTGACCCCATCTCTGTAGTTCAAATTATGCCTGTGCCTCCAACTCTGCAACGTCGTCGTTTTCAGAGCAAGCTTCTGCAACACCCTCTGCCACCAAGGAAGCTGGAGGACACAGGGATACTGCGTGCTGAGAACTGAAAGTGGCTGCTTTCATATAACCACAAGGCACACAGTTTGAACTGCAAACGTGCTACTGTTGACATCTGAGATTCTGCACAAGCCAGGCAGGCAGTTCAGCCCAGGGGCTGTGATGGGCATGTGAGGTGCGTCTGTCTCCGTGTTTGTGCGCGTGTGTGAGCGGGGGAGAGAGAAAGCAAGCAAACCCCATGCGTTTATTAACTTCCAAACGGAACAGCCACAGGAGTGCTTAAGAAAAAGCAGGCAATCCAGACAAGTAGTTTCAAGTCAATAGGACAGCATTTAGATCTAAAGTAAAAGCACAGAAAAAAGTAGGTGTGGTACAGAAATTGAAAGATTACTGGATCTATGAAGAGAACTATATTGCAGTTGTATATAAAGAATTTGCAGAAGTCAACGGTACTATAAGGGGATTCTGCTCTTAATCTTCTGCTAACACTGAACTAAAAATAGGCACGGTTTAATTTCACTTTGCAATCATTCTGAACGATAAAGTATACTTACGCAGCTCTTTCATATACCCAGTTATGTTCTTCAGTAACTGATATCCACTGGATTTGCAGCCATAGAGCGAAAAGTTGTATCGCACACCAGGTCTAAACAGTACTGCAAGAGAAAATCACTGTTAAGAAGATTTGGCTTATGAGGAATGATGCTTTTAGCTTTCAGATGATGCAAACATATAAGTACATATTGAAAAGATCATAAAGTCTTAGACCACAGAGTTAGGTATCAATACTATCTCTATTTGTAATTCCTATAAAAGCTATGCCATCAAACACAGTTTGGAGGCAGTAAAAAAAAAAAAAAATCTAGCTCTCAGAGCAATTTCAGTTCTAAACAAATAGGACAGAAAATAGTCTACTGGAAACGCATTAAATTGCTCTTTTCCATGAGGAAACACAAACTGTAAAGTTACAGAAACGATCCCTTTTGTTGCCTCCCATGGTACCTGTGTAGATCCTGCTTACTCAGAAATGCAAACACATCTTTAAAATACACAGGCTTATTACAGAAACAGCGCAAAGGTAATTCAGAGAACTCTCAAAAGTGATACTGAAGCAGTTCAACAACAAAATCCAGGTCAGAACTCTGAGCATATAAAACAGATAGTCATCAAACCTCCTCTATGTCTTCAATGGAGGCACAGGTGTTTGGTACTAGAGCGTACGTATAATTTACCACTTTCTGTGATTTCCTCAAGGGTGCACAATATTTTCAAATGTATCCTCTGCCTATTTTTTTTTCCTCCATAGGATGCCACTATGACCCACAGCAGCAGTCAAGCATGTTTTTGCAAGAGCTCAGGCCCAGCCTGAAAGAGTCTCATTGCAGGATGAAGCACAGAGGTGAATTTACTAGTTTGAGCCCAGCCCTAGCAGCCTGGTATCTCCTACAATCTGCTGCAAGAAACATCCCAGCAAAGAGCTCAGAAGAGAGAGACCAGTGCATCCTAGGACAAACACAGTATTGTCTGCTTAGAAAAAGCAAGCTATAGCCAACACAAACAAAACCAACATGGATGAGATGGTGTAACTATATTAAGAACAACACATTGCCCCCTGTCAAAATTCCCACCCCAACACCCCTCCCACCACCTTCTTACGTGCACAGCTCCAAGTTGTTTTATCTAATGGAGACTTTACATACTGAACTCTTCTAAAAAGCAAATAAATACTCTTTTTACGGAGCAGAGAAAAATCTTAAAATTTTCTTGAGCTTTTTCTTTCCTCTTCTGTTTCTACTAATCCCACCACAGCTGAGTTTCATTTCCCTGAGCTGCCCACCAGCATCTAGAGACCTGGAAAGTGCCCTGTTCCAGGAAACTTCAGTTGCTGACAGCAAGCCAACACATGGAGGTTACACTTAAAAATATCTGCCTCATGTAAAAACAACAGACAGAGGTCTCCCCTCTGTCCTGAGCAGCACAGTTTTTGTTCAGAATCTGCATAAAATTCAAAACCCTAGAATAACCATTATCCATTAGGAAGTTTTAGGAAGTTTAGGGCTGAACTAGCAAGTTTTCAGGTGCAGCTAAAAAAGGTAATTTGAAAATAGTTAATAAAATAGGATGGTAACAGTTAAACCAAGACTGAATATTTGGATTTGGCAGAGCAGCATAGGAAATTAAAATGAATACAACAGCAAGAAGAGGTTCATTTATACACACAAGCATACAGCAACACAACAACCTTTGATCTGTAGTAGATTGGTAATGTTCTCCCTCCACTTGCTGTTCAACCTCTGAATCAGAAAGACTCATAAAAACTCTTACTTCTGACTTACCAGATTTTATCACTGCATCTGTTGTATTTGAAGGAAATTTCTGCCAGTCCACACTACAGGGCTGAGACCCAGATGAATGACACCATTTTACTATGTAGCCACAGGTCACGTTGGGGTAAGAATTCCAAGAAATATAAATTCCGTTCCCCAGTGCAACGGCCCGCTCTGTTTTGACATTGTCTGCAACAAAAATGACGCAAAAACCCATCAGAGAGCAGACACTTATCTGTAGTCCAAGCGAAAAGAAAGCCTTCCAGCCACAGCACACAGGCTTTACAAACTGCAGTCATTTTTAAGAACGAGGAGCGCGCTCCTGGTGCTGTGAAATTCGAAGCGGTGCTTTCAGCTGCGCTCTCTGAAGCGCTGGAAATCAGACGAAGCCTGCAGCAAATCCTACAGCCAGTCTTGAGTAGGATGACGAGAAGTGCTGCAGCTCGGGACTGGCTAAGAAAGTACATTTTCAAGGTAAGCATTTACAGCAGATGTCAGGCTCAAATCTGACTTGACACCAATTTGGCAGGAGCCTCCAGCTACAAATTCCTCATTCTGTCTAAGAGTTTGCTTTGTGTTCCTTTTAAAGTGTCTCTCGTACAACCACAGGCAACAATTTTTCACTGAGACTCAACGGCAGAAGGTAAGTCCCTGGCAAACTCTGCGGAGACTCCAGAATATCAAGGGTAAAAAAAGATCCTCTGCTTTGCCTTCAGTACATTTATTTTGTTTCTGGTTATTAGAGATTTAGCTGCCCTTGAACTCATGAGATTGGGGAATGACACTTCCCTCTATGGCCGTCTGTCAGGAGGGGTCCTGCAGAGCTCAGGGATGTTTTCCAAAGGCCACGACAGATCTTCAGAAACAATTTCTGGGTTTCAGCTTTTCTTTTTTCAATGTTCTTATTTATGCTCCCCTATTGAATCAATTATTTCCTGTTGTCAAAGCCCTGACCCATGGGAGGCCGAAGGGAAAGGACGATTTTTAAGAAGCAGTGTTGTGAAAACTTTACTCTCACAGACATGCTGTGAATGTTGAAGGACTGCATAATTCTAAACATTTTTAATAGATACTGAAGTGTTTAATCCTTTTCTAGTTTGCTCATGGCAAGAAAGACACACATGCTTAAACAAATACAAGTCAAACTCCAGAAGTACTTCAATACTTTTCCCCATTTCTATGATGCTGGAAGAGAATTAAGCTGCTTTAGTTTTCCTATTTACATGAAAGGCTTTCTAGGGACTGTGGGCACATACTCTCTAAAAATGCTTAAGTACACCACACTAAATATTATTCCCTGAGCCATAAGACAGGAGATTCACCCGGGGCAGTAATGAGCCCTGTTCTGCTCATTTGGGGGTATTTATAGCTGTAGTAGTAGAAATAACTATCTACAGTACTACCTACTGTAGCAGCGGAGCCTGTAACAGCCAGATTATATGCCCTTGACTCTCTGCAGAGCACTTTTCAGAGACAGTGACAGATGAATTAAGGCAGTGTATCCTCTGTTTTCAGTTTTCACGAAACCTCATCAGATATCCAGCTTCAGAGCCACTGCTTTCTTAAGGACATTAGAAGCACTTACGGACTGTATACAGGAAGTAGCCAGAAGAAATGTTTGGGAAGAAATGTCATCCAGTTCAGTGAATGAGTCACATTTCATGACTCCAGTCAGTGACTCAGATAATTCCTATACCAACTTGGTAGCAAATCTTCTACAAGTTGGGTAATGCCACGGGAACCTCAGACTTCTGAGCTCTTTCCAAGTGAAAGCTGCAAATGAGTTGCAAAGCTGTCGTCCGTCCCACACCAATACCTGTGTTAGAGAGACCTCCACCACTCCCAGAATCTAGTTCTCTTTTTGCTCAAAAAAGAGCTATAAAAGCATCTTCATGAAAATCACTATCTGTCTCAGCTACATCACTTCACAGAAGCCCACAGCAAAAGCGGCAGTGTTTTAATTGGGAAGCTGAAGTCCACTTTCTTTTCAAACCCCGGCTTCTAGCACAAGGAGGCAAATGCTTTTCCAGCTAGCCCAAACAGTATTCTCCCGTAGAGCTCAGAATCAATGAACTGACAATTCCCCCCTTAACAAGGCACACAACATGCCCCTACAACCTTTTTCCGATTCTCTTTAGCATGTACCACATTTCAGTGTCGCAACAAGAACACAGAGGAACAAACTGAGCTCCCCAAACATCAGAGATCTGTGCCAATAACTTAGCATCACCCTTGTTATTCCTGGGAAGTCTCCAAAAAGGTGCAACATAGCTGCAGACACTGCACACTATCACCCATGGAGAGCACAATTACTTGGTGAGACACTGCACCAAAAGCAAAGCAGCATGTGTATTAGACTTCAGTGGGATAAAACCCTGCACACCAAAGCAAACAAAGCATGCGTCATCTTGTTTTTCAATAAATAAGCCTGCCCAGATATTCCCCAGGCTGGGACAGCGCTTAGACCGCTGCTGTGAGCACTCACCGCTCGGAAGTTCCACGCTCGTTATCTTCGAAGGAGGAGACGAGCCTGCGTGATTTTTGGCTACAACGCTAATTACACAATCGTTTTTTCCGAGTTTTATCTCAGTACTGTTTGAAGGTTCGGTGACTTCTTTATACTCCAGTGGTGTATCTAGCAGGTAGCATGACACTTCATGAGACACTATTTTTCCATTGGCTTCAGAAACGGACAATGGCTATGAAGTAGTCAAAGAATGCATTAAAAACAAGATGGAAAAAACAGAGGAAGACATAGGATTATATGAATCTAACGCACAGGACCACCAGGCAAAAAAGACAAGCTACTCAAGTGTGATTTTGGGAATTAACGTGCAAGTTCCTAAGATTTTATTTTTTACCCAGGACGTGTTAAAAACTTAATTCTTCACGTGAAATTCTTCTCAAATCAAAGTTTTCAATAATACTTCTTTTTAAATAGAAAAATTCTGTAATATTCTCATTTGCGGAAAATTATTTGTCTTAAGGTATGATTCTAAAAAGAGTTAAGAAAAGTTATCTGATTTACTGACGATAAACTCCACACATTCATAAATGCATAAGAATATTATTTTCATAAGAGTTACTTTATGTAATGCTTTAAAACTCTAAGTTTCCTATCTACCTTCCAAAAGATTTTTAGGCTTCTTCCAGAAGGACTTCTCTCTCTCCAGACATCTGGTCCTCTTGCAGGAGCTAAGAAAAAAGAGAATTTTTTTTTCCTCCGAGTTGTACAAGAGACAATTTAATATCTATCAATCAGAAAGACAGCCTTCCTTCCTGTAACATTTAAAATATATGGCTTCACAAGTTCAGCATTTTGTCATCAAAGAACTAAAAATACTTACGAGCTTCCAACGTTGTGTGTTCCTCTACCCTACTCCAATCACTCCATTTCCAGAAGTGGTCAGCAGCTGAACAGCGCACCCTGAACTGGTATTTGGTATACGGGTGCAATGCGTTCAGCTGAGCTGTGTAAGTCGAGAATTTTCCACCGGGCATGGAGACGTTGTGCTGTTAAAAATTTATAAAATTTGACATGATTTTTTTTGTTGTTCCTAGATTATGCTGAAAATCAACACCTGAAAACAAGGTGATATTCTTCCTAAGACATGTGCACAGAAGCACACTGAAGACGGTCCGTCTGAGCAAGATACTTATCATACTCTTCGTAGTAGTCCTATTTCTTTCAAAAGACAGTATGTAAGTCTTACCCAAGTGATCTCTGTTCACGTCTATTTTACAGCACTAGTCACTCTTGCTATTCTTAAAATGGTGCAAGTCTAGGGAGTATTTCAGTTTCATGATTACTTACAGAAACTCTAAGCCTGGGAATATTTTCTACTGTATCTAATTATAACACGCGTGCATCACAGCTGCCAAGAACGGGACTCTAAGCAACTTTAAGTTGTAACTAATTGTGCATTTCTGAAGCCAAATAACAACTTGAAAAATATCAAAAAGAGCCAACAATCTCTCACATGGAAGGAAAAGTTTCTGAAAACCTCTTCAAGATGCCATGTAAAAACCCATAACAATTTCACAGCTACTTTTTTATTACAGAGAACTCTTAGAGGTTTTTTATTAAGCAACCAGAGTCAATATAATGCTGCCAAAACTTTTATAAAGTTGTATGCTATGTTTCAAAAGCATCTGTAACAGAGGCCTCTGATACAGGTGCAGCAAAGGGAACTGCTGTGGCAGCGTAAGACCTTACCATCTCCCACCAGCCCAAACTACTGAAACAGTAGCAGAGCTCACAAGCAAATACGTGCCCCAAGCTTCATCCAGTGCGACTCAGGCTAGACCAAACCGTGCAAACCCACATTTGCTGGTAATTTAAGCTAACTGAGCTGGGAGCAGGTGCCACAGTGGCGTTCGCTCCCACTGCTGACTGCTCCAGGAGCAGTAACTGCTAGGAGCAGACAAATGCAAACTGTGGATGATAATATCTCAAACTACCACACCAAAATCCAACACAGCTCATCTGTCAGAGCTGTTATTTACATCTCAAAGCCAGTTCAGTTCCTTCTCCTGGTAATTCTCAAGATAGCTATGATTTTCTTTGCAGTTCCTAATCTCTGGGTACTACTTAACACATTTGATTACAGAGTAAATATAAGAGCTTACATACTCACAGTATGTAAGTGCTCTCACGGTATTTAAAAAAAACATTCTGCATAGAGTGTGCATTAACTACAGCCCTATTATTTTAGGGATAATGTATATAACGATCATATGCAGCCTCAGCTGCATCACTTCTGTGGCTTGACTGACTGACTGATTATTCAAGGCTTTCCCTGGTAGGCAACTAACTATACGTGACTAACAGAATACTTGCTAAAATCAAACTGAGAAACAAGCTTTCTAAAAAGCAACCTCTAAGGTCAATGTATTCAGGTTACAAATTCCGGCTACGTTCTGTGCACTGAGACTGGATACTTCAGCGTGAGCCTGCCTGAGCTGGTCAGAGATTTACCATCTGAACGGGCAAAGAGAGTCTGGGGGCAGACCTCAGGCCAACCATACCTGCACAATTTCGCCATCGGGCTTCCCCAGCGAAACGGATCACCCACACGCTAAGTTAGGCAATAAGGAAGAAGAGGATATATTTCCACCACCTACACTCAGCATCTGATGCTGGTGTTTAAAATAGTATCCTAAGCTCCTTTGACAGTCAGCAGAGTAAATACGCAGCTCCAGTCAGAGACGCAGAGCACTAAAGCAACCAGAAGCCCGAATGCTGGAAATCTGAACTCTACCCAGAAATACCACCTTCTCTCCAGATGCAGAAGTCTCCATCGGGATTGCCTACTCACATGCCCAATGGGAGAATCCTTCCCTACCCTGTCTCCACGCTGCTGACGCACGAGCAGGTTTAGCAACGCTGTACTACAGCCACATGCATGTCAACTGCTGACAGCAAGCAGCTGAAATGTTCCCTGAGAGGGGGGAAAAAAAGAAAATCAACTACAGATTGCAAGAGGCAATGAGAAACTACTGTGGAAGTCCGCAGAGCAGCAGCACATCATGGGAACTAGCATGTGCTGGTGCAGCTTGCATCATGAAGGACAAAGCACAAGAACTACTACCTAAAGGGTCAGTATAAAACACTATGCACCTTCTCAATGCTCCAAATAATATGGTTGCTAAACTGACTTTCCTCTAAATTGTTTACAACCAACCAAACAAAATAAAGCAGGAAACAATAGATTACAACTCTTCTTGATTTTAGTAGATGGACTTCTAGCCATCGCCGCATTAACCTTTCAATAAGACAATCAGACTGAAGCCATGAAAGGAATGTCAAGTGAAAAAGATCAACATTTGAGCACAACAAATTCCAATAAAAGCAACACTTACCAGTTTTTGTTCAGCGTGACCACTGCTAATTTCAATTTGACACAGAAGCCGGATCTCAATAAAGCTGCCGTTTATGTACCAACGCAGACGGACACTTGTAGAACTGTTCCCAGAAGCAGTTAACTTTTCTGGAGTTTTTGGATGAACTTAAAAATTAAAGGAAAAAACCTTCAGTTCTAAGACAAAAATTTTAGCTCAGAAAAATTTAATTTTAAAAGATCCAAGAGAATGAGAAAAATAAATAAATTATCTGATTAGCAACTAGGACAGCTGGTGCTATGAAGGCACCTGCAAGCTGTTTCATTCCTGATGCACTTTTCAGTTATCAAACACAAACAGATTTGCTCAAGGCTGAGTGTCCCTGGCAAAACAGCATGTATGATAACAAGCTGGCAACTCACAAAAACACTTCACTTCCAACTGATTTTATAAAAAAGGTGCAATTACCTGGAACACAGGGGCACCTAATCATAGGTACCAGAGAAGAAAAACTCAACTGCTGGAATTGGCCCAGTTATCTTTAAGGGAATGTGTACTCTATGTTGGCAATTAACTGTACAGTGAGGGAAACGAAGGAAAGGAATCAAATAGGAAACAGCAGTCAAACCTACCAACTGTAAAATAGCCCAGTTTATGATTAACAGAAACAAATTATGCTTCTCTAGGGCCTGTCAATTGACCCTGACAGTTCTAATCTCACTTGTAATTAGGAAATGGGCAAAAAATGCAATTTCTGGAAGAAAAAAATCAGTTTTTCCGGGAGAATGACTGAGTACTGTAAGCTTTAGGAATGCCTGAATCCGCGGCTATGTTTGTCTGCGGAGGCTGACACAACAGGGCAGGGGAAGACGGGAACGTGCACCAGAAAGGTGCCTGTCTTCTCCCTTTCCTCATTTATATTGGGGGCCTAATAAAAGATATTACTTCCTTCAACAAACCGTGGCAGCAGAGGATCATGGCTACAACAGTACTGCTATTACCTTTTAGTGCCACTTTTTTAGGCTCCAAATCCCGCAAAAGTAAGCCTGTAAGATCTTGCCCTAAAAGCAGGCACTGAAATATGGGGCCACCCACAGTTCATAAAGTTACACCTAAATTTTAATGATTGATACTTACTAGAATATGAAGCGATACGTAAACAGCAGTTGGCTAATTATTAGATCACAGGAGCATTTATCCACACAGCACTGTATCCAATGTGGTAGCATGGCTACGGAGAGAACTAGCATCTCCGTGCAGACCTATGTTTAACCACAAGTCATGTCCTCAGCTTTCTTTTCTTTTTAAGTTTAAATTACTGAACAACACCAAAAATTGTTGACAAGAGAGCAAAATAATAGTAAGTATAGCATGTCACAGATCTTCTGAGTTCAAACAAATGGTTCGCATGCAGTAAATGTATCTTTTGCCTTTGTAATTCTTAAGTCTTACCTCTCTGAGTTAAATCAACCAAAAGCGAGGACTCTGTTTGCCCGATAGGATTGGAGACGCCTAGTGTGAAACTGTACGTTTTTTGATCAGCCAGCACCGGAAAGCCACAGACACGCTCTCTGCTCATTTCATTTACTTCACACGAAACGTTTTTACCAGATATCCTATGAAGTAAAGCAGGGGGGGAACACCTTAATTTTTGAATAAGACAATTTCTAGCAACAGTCAACAGTCTAGATTGAAAACACAGTAAAGAATGATGGGTTCACTGACGCATGGCTTACAGAATGATTTGATTGCAGAGGCATATCTAACACCATAACGCAGGTTAAAGTGGCATCAGTCATGACTTGCCCTGTTCTCACGTCAAACTCTCCTCTTCCACTATCATAACATTTCCATCCTCTCACTTCTCAAAAGCCTGGAAAACAGGTATGTCCTGTAAAACCACCTCACAAGTCACAACTAAGACTGATTTAAAGAAGTATCTTTGCTCAGATCAGCATACATTTGCATGTAAAGTACGTCACTAACCGCGTTCTGAACTAAGGAGATGGGCCATACGTAACATCTTTCCATCAGTCCTGTCAAACCTAAGCTATGGTTTGTCACCTGGGATACTTCCACTAGTCCCAGCCGTTCCCAAATCAAAAGCAGGAAAGGTGGTCTGATAATAGCCAAGACCAGAGTTACATATTTAAAGGTAAAATACAAAGCGTTTGTGTGTGTGTATGTACAGATATGTGTATATATAGGGGTGTGTGTGTGTGTGTGTGTGCGTGCACACACATGTACATAAAAGTTGCTTTAATTACAATCTACATACACCTCTCATTCAGTAGCAAGGATTTAATTTCCTCCTTTGGGCATTCGTCCTATATTCTAGCTGAGCTCTCCATTTCAAAAGCTCAGTGTGGCCAGAAAGTAAGGATGAGAATATTCTCTCTGAAATGCATCACATGCATCTCTGAACTATATTTGAACTATATCCTTACATTTATGATATGAAAATAGGCAGCCAGTGACTGGAGCTCCTTTCCTTTGAACACCTGCTCTTTTCCCCCCACCTCTTTGCACCCTAACAAATGACTTTTAGCAATAGCCTCCTGGCCAAGATGCATGACCATAACTTCATCTTCATTCACTCTGACTTGCTCTAAAGGCCACCGTTAAACTCCCTTTTCCCTTGTGTGACTCAGGCCTCCTGGCTCTCTTCTTTGATTGTTCCTTTGGCAGTACGGGGAAGCTCCTCACCACGGGAATTTTGTTCACTCCTCAGCAACTTCTAATCACTACCACCAAAGAATACCATTTACAAGTCCAATTCCAAAATGATGATTCTCCACTTTTAAGACTGTACATGGCCTAGCATATAATATAAACCAGTGGGACACCAGCTTTCATTTCATTCTGCAGATGGTGCCAGTGTTATTTGTGGCTTTCAGTATTTTCCAGGTAACACATACTTTGATCGCTCTACACTACACCATTCTTCATGCTGAGAGAGGGGGGAAATTTGAGTAGGCTTATTTCCAATGGCACCTGGGAAATGCTCCGTGCTCTGTCTTACAATGGTTTCTCAGTGAGTTTCTGTCATGCAGAGGCTCAGTAAATGTCTGACAGATGATCTGACATAGGTTGCATACAAAAAAAAAAAAAGTAAATAAACGACTCCCCCCATCTCCCAGTATTCTCACATTGGTCTTATCCACCTGTTGGCAGGAATCTGACACACAAAGTCCTTTATTTTGTCATGCGTCTGGACCGGCATAAGTTTTTGGGAAAAAACATCCTCAATTCTCATTGCAACACTGCAAAACTAGACTGGAGTTCTCTGACTTTGTTTTTGGACTTTAGTTCAATCCACAAAATTCTGAAGAACATTTTAGGCTCTAAAAACTGAGACTATCTCATTTAAATGAGAGGTAGGCATGGAGCAGTAAAGTCAGAGGCAGCAAGGGATATATTAAAGTTCTATCTTTTTACAACGCTTAACTGTTTTACCTTTCAAATAAACTGTACTTTGTTCGTCGTTTTCCATATAGTCCACTGGGTCTGCCTGGTTTCCAGGTACATTTTATTATCAGAAAGTTGGATGTTTCACAGATGAGGTTTTGGGGAGTATCAGGGGCATCTGTAGTATAAAAGGAAACCAGAACAGTCAGCCAGTGTTCCCCCGTCCTGTGCATCACCATTACCACTTAAAGAGTTTTTCTGCTGGGTCTAGATTGTGCCCCTCACAAGTACATGGTAGAAGTTACTCTCCAACCATATAAATAATACGCTTCAGATTAAACACACGGATAATTATTACCAGCCCAAGTGACTAACACTTGATTCTAGGCTTCTAAGTGGGTGGAGAATCTGGTAAAACACATGCAACTATGTTCTTCACAAGCTCCAGGCGCTGACCTGGAAGTGTTTTACTAAAACTCTGCCAAGACGTTTCCAAAATTCTGAGCGTCAGTTTAGCCGCTGAGCAATTTAGGAGTGCTGCTGGCTGCGCGTCACGTTTTGTTACGTGGCAGCCCCACCACTGCTTCGAATTCTCTAAGCAAGTCACGTCAAGAAGTTCCCTTAAGCACGAATTCCACCCTGTATTTGAAACTTGAAGCAAGCCCTGAATAGCTCATCCTCTTCACCTCTGCTTTGCATACGCCCCTCTTTCCTTTTCTTTTAAAGCTTGTCCTTCCATCCCAGACTACAGCACTGCTGACATCCACTGACCGCCTTCCTGGACAAGACGGGCAGTGCTCCCAGCAGAGACAGGGTAACCACGCTGATGTGAGGCTGTTTGCAGCCCTTCTTTCAAGACTCATACACTCTCCCCCAAAAAGGTGGCATAATAAAATCAAGTACCTGCACTAGAGAAGGGACACTAACACAAGAGACAACAGTAGCTGGCTTTGTTCAAATTACGAGCAACTGGCCAAAAAGGAGAACGCTTATTTTGCCAGACCTAGGCTACCTAAGGTGGTGTGTATACACATTTGGGGAACAGCAGACAGATGAATCAAATGTTTCATCAACAAGAGCATCCTGACCAGACCTCTCCCTTCCCACTAACTAGGTACCACAAGGAAAACAGTGGCAGAGAATAGACTTTACCACATCCCAAATCTTCTAAAACTGCTGTATGGGAAAACCCTGTGTATGCTTCTTTGTCCTCTCTGAGATTGTCACAACTTTCATTTATGAACCACTGACTTACATGGAGAGTTTTCCAACCAAAGCGCACAAACAATGTGAAAACAGCACCTCAATGAGAATCCAAAAAAAGCTGGATTCCTTTTTGCATTTGCTATCACACATTTAACATCCAAAGTCAGTGACATTAGTGGAATTAGGAACACACTTTCAAAATAAGTGCAGTCTCTTTTCTCCTTTCCCTCATCCCTCCAAGGACCGTTAGGTTCAAAGGTGGGTATTCATAATGGGAAACTGCTATTCTAATGGGCAGCTATTGGAATAAGGCAATTCCCTCAAGCACTCACTGCGGGGGAAAACGCACAAAACTCTGAAGTGACCAATTATGGGAAAGAAGAACCAGATACTTTCAACAGTTTGTTTTAAGAGGTAACTATATCTGGAAGACATTTCTGAGGCTTGCAAGGTTACACAGAAATATACACAGTGATTTAGTATCTTAAATATTTTAAAGAAAATATTAAAAGAATGTTTAGAAGATTTTCCAGGAAAGATTAATTGTCAACTGGGTTCCTTTGCAGTAATGAGTTCCCAGAGAGCTACTGCCCTGGATGAGGATCTGTTGCCCCTGCAAATCTAATTGTTTTATTGTCTTTTTTATTGACTGATTGGTAAATGAATGTTTTCACCATAATTCTTGCTCTTACTCTTGCCTTTTCAAGGACTAAACTGGAATGGATATAAACACAAACTGATGGAAAATGAGGACAAATATTTAAATACAATAAACTAGTAAGTATTCTGGACCATAAAGCAGTGCCTTAGGAAGAGAGATCAAGGAGAGTAGCACTGGGCCAGGCTGTAAGAGAATCTCACAGCTGCTTCCACAGGTACCTCTCTGTCCTTCCAACCCCAGCATCTTCTCCGAGTGCTGGAGCTCGCAGAGTGAAATCAGTCAGACGCGTAAAGGAACACCACTAAAATCCTCGTTCATCCTCAGAAATCAAAGGCCAGGAAAAAAGAGCCACAACAGCACCTGTTTCCTAGCGGAACCGCAAGAGTCTCAAAACCATTTTGATTTTTCCTAAGGTTAGTAAATGTAAGTATACTTACATCCTACAAACAAGACAGTTCCATCCATCTCTTCTGGGTATAGTGTACACACTACATTTGTCCCACTAGTATCTGAAGCACTGGCATTTAGCACCCTGATTGCACTGCTCCGACTGCTCAGACGTATCAGTGGGTATATTTCTGATCCGTAAGTCATCTGTTGTATCTGTTGTCCTTCTTCATGGACACAACAAATTGTTACATCTGAACCTACTGCCACCACAGTGTCCTGAGGAAAAACCCCGCTCCCATTGGGCTCGGTATCTTTTCCTAGCAAAGAAGGAAGAGCAGAAAACAAATAAAAAGAAAACCTATTAACAGTTTGCTTTTATAATTCCAATATATGTAATAAATATGGTGTTCGCTTCTATAATTGCATCCGTGTAACAAACACAGTGCTGATCAGCTAAAACATGACTCAGGAGCGCTTCTGTGCATACAAATCTATAGTTACTAGGTTTCATTAACCTGTGATTGCATGTTATTCTTATTTCTCTAATCAGAACACCCTGAACGCAACAGGCCATCACTGCCTACCACTCTTCCTCCTACTTCAGGCTGCTTTTCATGAAGCAGTCAAAGTCCATATGGCGGTAAGGGAACAGACATACCAGGGACCTTTTCTACTGGGCTCCAGTCACTCCAGTCCTTGTGGCCAGCAAAATCCGTGACATTAATGTAACAGCGAATCTTCACATAATGCGATGTACACTCCAAAGGCATGTCCGATGTCCAGTTCCAAGAAAGAAGGATGTTTTCATGCGTCAATTTTGAATGGTAAGTTACCTGCAAAGTTTCCCCAAATAACAAAGAGAGAGCTTATAAACAGTTGCTAAGAAACATACAGAATCTTGCAAGTGTCAACAGGTTGGCAAATTACGTGAGGTAAATCATAAAACCCAACAGATGGGCAGACTATCCCATCTAACACTTTCAGGAAGACTATCAGCCAGAAATATCAGAGGGCGGACATCTGAGGGAGGGCAGGCATCCTGGAAAACCTTTCAAAAGGTATATATTGCATCCCAGTGCCCAGGGCATCTCCCATGCAGTGATGTGCTCCAACATTTCCAAAATGCAGTTCTTGTAACTTTTAGTTCCAGGCCACACATTTTATTTTTTCTCCATTCCCAAAACTTATAGAACAAAGTTACAAATGGGCTTGGGCAAACTGAGGTTGCCATTCTCAAAATACTGGTTTAATTCATGATATTGCATGGTGCCCCCAGAATATCAAGTGATGTATATATCCTGTCTAATGACCTGCTGCAAAACATAATCTATAGGCAAATAGCTTCTTTCATACAATGTAAGGTTAAGGAATCTAGTAGTTTACTGCTGAAAAAACCAGTGAATTATTCTAAAAAACAATTCTGGGGTAACTTGAATGAGTAATTATTTTTATTTCAAAAAGATAAATAAAACCTGAATACTCAATGGCATAACCAGGGACAGAAAGAAAGATTCACTTCATATGAAAAAATTATGCCTTCCATATGTAATATTCAGAAGCATATCCTTCCATATGTAATATTCAGAAGCATATTAATTTTTGATACTCATCGCCACTCCTACGAACATGTGAGATGCTGCATGAATAAGAGCAATGACAGACTTTTTCCTACAAAGTTTTTAAAACCCCAGCATTGAGGCACACCAAGAAGGATATTCTTCAAAAATGCAGCACGGAGCGGAGAGAAAAATATAAATTTGTTCCCCTGTTTTGAGTTGATTACTTGGTATGCTCAAACAAACACAGAGCTTGTGAATGCTGAACATGCTGCAGTCATGTTTTCTGGATTTTTTTAGGGGGGAACATAAGGGCAATCGCACAGGAAAACAAGCTGAATCCACCAAGTCTAGAGAGACTCTTGGAGAAATGACGCAGAATTAATGGTGCAGTATATCTGCCAAATTCATAAGCAAGTTCTAAATAAAAGAACTGTAACAGTTAAAAAAAACTGCTGGGGCTGTGAACAAATACTGACAGTGCAACATCCACTGTCCTCCCAAAACTTCAAAACTTAACAGTAAGTTACCTACCAGCATCAGACACAGAATCTGCAAAGTTCAACAATTTGCATTATTGTGAGCTTTCTTTCAATGACCCCTCAAAATATTAGGGTGGGGGGGAAACGTATATATACTTTTCGTAAAGAAAGAAAAGGACTTACTCGTGTTACTTTTTCCATTGTTTCTTTACGGAGTATCTCAATCTGCCAAAAAGCATCCAGTCCATATGGGAAGACTGACCCATTATCGCTCCACTTCAGATTTAACGTGGAAGTCGAAAAGTCAGGAGTTAAACTGAGAATGTGCGGAGTGAGCGGAACAAACGCTTGAAAAAGAGAGGGGAAAAAAAGCCCATATTCTAGTCATTAGTCAGCAATACCAGCCATACAGGTGTTTAACAGCCACATCTCTCTGCTCTGAACTGGCTGGTAGCCATACAAACATGGAGGTCAACCTCTGTAATTAGAATAAGATGGGCTCTGTCATTACTTGAACGGGAAGGTTCCTAGGAAAGCACAGGTGCTGATGAGTCACCAGGTAGCATTTTCTTCTAACATTTCAGCATGCAGGCAGACGTGTGAGTAACTGATCACGAATATGCCTCTTCATAATGCATGGCAAGGAAAACATCCTATTACCTTTCACAACCTTCGTTCAATGCCACAGGGATAAAAGAAACACTTTAAGTGCACATGGGAATACAATTAGGGAGGAGAAAGTAAAAGCCGTCAAAGGAAGAAGAGCGTTTTGGACACCATCAGGAAAGCGTGAAGGAGGAAGGAAGAGCCACAACAAAAACAGGAGTATGGAGAAAGGAGAGCAAAAGCACATGGTGGAAGAAGCTCACATGAGGCTCTGAAGAGGAAGATGAGGAACATGATTTTAAGCTACCAGAAACATGAAAGGCACGACAAAATGATGGAGTCAGTACAGGGAGACTATCTAAATAGAAGGGCCTCTTCTATGAATGGGTGGTAGTGAAGCAAGGGGCTCTGAACCCTGCAAAGGTTATGACAGTTCAAGTAGATCCGGGTTGCTGCAGGATAAATCCTGTTTTTTCAGTGTGTGATTTACCCAGCTGGGGTACTAGCCAGGGGGAAGCTCTGAGAGCCTTCAAAGTGTTGAGCACAGTCAGCAAGCTACCTGGGATAACCTGTGAGGAACCCACAGGTCCATCCTGCCTGGAGTCAGCAAAACACCTGGTATGAACCCCACACATTTTTGAGCTGTGCTTTGTTAAAGTTTCTTCTCAACTAAGAACAGGTCAGAAAACTGAGCCGTGGATAAGAACAGCAACTGAAAATGGAAGAGTTTGGATTTTGAATAAATGGGCAAAGTGAAAAAAAAGGCTAAATTATGAGTAAGTGTGGCAGATGGCACCAATGTCATCTTTAGCATAAAGCTGATGAACTTGCATAATCAGTAGAGTTGCCACTAGAAACTAAGAAGAACCAGAGAAGCTGAAACTGAAGAAAAATAAGTTATCAACTAGTCCAAGTTTTGTTTTAAGTTCTGCTTCTGCGGGGGATGCTCAGAGGCAGCTAGTGATGGTAAATCTGACCGAAAGGGAAAGGGGAGGTGGGAATCCACAGCATAATGCCAACAGCTAAAGCTATTGAAGCAGATTCAGTTTGCAGGAATGGGGGGGGTGGGGGAGACTGTTATAGTAAAAAAAAAAAAATAACTGTAAAGAGGGAGAACGTGGAAGAGCACACAGCTGACGTAACCCGGGGCAGTGAGCACGTGGGCAGACATACTTACTGAGTGGGATAAGGGGATCTCCTTCTGAACAGAGAAGACAAAACTCAAGAGAAACTTCCTTAGAGCCAAATCAAGGCACAGCGCTATTAATGTGGTAGAAAGAGATATAGTGTGGAACACAGCTACCTCAGCCTAGAGATACTTCCCTGCTTTCCTCCATCTTTGGGAGGAAGGAAGCAGGGAAAAATCCATCTAATTTAGCTATAACTGCAGTATGAAGAGTTGCCTACCTCCCAAGCATTTGCTCAGTTTCATAAATGTTTGAACAAAAGGGGCAATTTGGGTGTACACTAAGACAATAAAGTCCCATTAGGTGTGACACATGATATAACTGCCCTTAAAATGTTACAAAGCAGTAGGAATAAGCTACTTCATTCTCTAGGGTTTCAGCATTTAAGAAAGGTGCATTGCCACTACAAATTTTATTCCACTTCTCCCAAAGCTAGTATGAGCACTTTATGCCCCACGTAGTATGCCACGATTCAAATACGTAGATAGTAACTTGTTTGCAAACTCTTCCTAATTTTCAGCAAGGAAAACAATGGCAAAGAATAGTTAGGGGCATGCAATGGTGTTGAATTTTGTTTTCTTCCTTACATTTTGCCCTCCATTTTTCTGCTATGATTTACGGGTAGAGAGGTTTTCTTTTCCCTGAAGGGGGAGAAAAACAACCTCCTACTGCATATGGCTAGATGATTAGGGATTCTGCACATCAGCATTTTACATACAGGAACACTGCCAAAGAAAACTGCAAGCACATACGCTTCTGGGTCATGTTTAATCAGTGATAGGATAAAGGCCTCACGTATACACATAAAACTTGATACTTACAGATGTCTGTCTTGTGAATTGTAAATTTTTTGGTGGCAAAAGCAGTTCCATGAACGTTGTTTGTCGTTATTGTCACGGTGGCGGAGCTCTCTGAGACTGGAATCTCTACTCTTTTCTCCCTAGTTTTAATACACACTGGAGGGGGGAGGTCACTGAAAAGAGAGGGAGGATTAAGCAGGTATTCCAGCTTAATAGGAAGATAAGACATTCCCAAGACACTAGTATAACACAAATTCTCTGTAACGTAACAAAGAAAGCTCCGTTTCAAGCCTGAGAAAGATTAAGAACGCATGAGCTTTGGTTAACATTCGATTAACAAGCATTCCCTCTTCCTTCAAGTCACTTTTATCACAGTGGTAGACTCTGCACTAGTTGTATAATGTAGCTACATAGCTCATAAGAGAACACCTCAAAGTGAAAAAGCATGACTTTGTAAGCAAAAGACACATTTCTGAACCTGGCAGTCACCATGAATCAGTATTTCAAAATAAGCAAAAACCAACAAAACAACACCCAGCAGTATCCTTCCCTTCTTCTCCTCCCTGACTTCTTCTCCCTCCTTCTCTTTTCAGAGTCATGGAATATGGATGCAACCAGTGGGTTCACACATCTGTCTCCCCATCACAGAATAAACCTTCTAGCTCCCTTCTGCTGCTCAGCTAGTAGAAAAAGACCAGGGGGGTAGAAGGGAGAACTGTTTGCACGGTGCTCAGCGCAATGCGATCTGGTCTTTGTCTGGAGGTTGTAGACACATATAGACAAAAATAATGGACAGGTCAAGCCCCTTTGCTCATAATCATTGAAATGTAACTAGAAAGGAAAATTCTTTGGAAAAATCCAGATCTTCCTCTTGGGGGAATGAGGGGAGGAAGCAAAGGAAAGAGAACAATGCCAGACTTCCTGTGGAGGGACTATTACTCATTTAAGAACTGGAACATGATGCTGGAACTCCTATCTGTTGAAGTCAAGAGCTTGGGCTGAACTTTAAGGATTCATGCAAAAGACTCTGCACTAGTAAAGGCCAGTGAAACTTGAGCGCTCAAATGGGCTACTCCTCCTCTGTTACTGAGATGCCATTAGAGGATGACCAGGCAAAAGAAAGCCAAAACCTTTCCCTAACGGATGTCCAAGCTAAGCTAAGCCTGCCTCAGCTTCTAAATTTCTGAGATCCAAGCCTGTTCCGCTTTGGTAAAGAGGAATAGCAACAGTTACCTGGTTATTCTTGTTTAGAGGGCAGAACGTTACAAACTCTGCACTCCAAAACTCTGCCTACACTGTCACATACACATATTTTTTGTATAGCAGTGATAGCTGGTAACACAGGAGGAATAACTACACACATAAAATTAAGTATGTAGGTGGAAGAAGTGCAGCCAAGCCCTGGGACCCCAAGGACAAGTCTGAGCTGCCTGAGGATTTACAGGAAGAAAGACAGTACAAATATCTGGACTGGGGGCAGGATCAAGATGCAAAAACTTCCTAGCACATGACAAGTATTTGGCAGACCCACAGCATGGGGATTGCACATGTCGTTCTCGTTAGTGAAAAGCATACTGAAGATTTAAGCTTTTTTAATGTTTCTTGAAATTTTTCATCTCTCATGTATTTTGGAAAGGCTATTCCAAATGTGGACTCACTTTCATGTTTCCTCTCATATAATGATCTCCAGACAGCTTAAAATTTATAAAGGTTATAAGACAACCACCAAGAGATTTTTTATGTTTTTCCACATGTGAATCTTGACACTTATGTCATGTATTCTACCGCTTTGGCCCATAGCACCAGGATTTGCTTCCTCCAACTATCATTTCCTTTTGGACTGAACCAACCACTGGTATGAAGATGTCCCTTATGAAAACTCTGAGCAAGGGCTAGGCAGACACACAGAGAACTCTAAAGAAATGAGAGCATCTTCCAGCCCTTTGAAGAGAGCAAGCAGGAGATTTTGGCAGGAGAATTGTTAGCATGAAACAATGCTTTGCCAGAAGACTCGCCATTGCCTGAATTAACAGTGCCTGGAGAGAGCACCACCCAAGGATAACTGACTGGGAGATGCTGGGAAACAATATCATCACAAATTCCATGGGCAAGGACTGAGGAACGGTTACACTTTCTTCACAGTTTTACGGTTTTCAGTTAGGTATACATGGACTTACCTGGTGGCATAACAAAAATCAGTTTGTCCATATCTTCCTTTGGAAGAGACATCCCAAGTACAGACCATTTTGTGTAAATTGTGCATTATACATTTCAAATTCTGTGGTTCCCCTGGAGAACCTGAAATGAGATAAGAACTATATAGTCACAAACTGCAGGTCAAAACGGACCAACTGTAAAACAAGTGTTTTACATATCAAAAGCCATTCTTTTTACATTTTTACTGCATGTATTTTTAGCAAATATCTTAAAAACTGGTGAATGATTTGTGTGCCTGATCAGAGAAAGGCAGAGACTGCCAGAAGTACCCCACAATTGGATTTATATTTGTGTGCATAAACACAGGCAGCTATTTCTTTCCACGCTACTCATTCCTGGCCTTCCTTAATAAGCAGGCTTTGGGCCAATGGCAAAACTGCAAGCCTTGATGATAAACTTAATGGGCTTTTTGCTCTCCTCTACTGTCCCACACCAAGGGCAATTAACGATAGGAGGGCAATTAATGATAACACGTGGAACTGTCGCATATGCTGACATATGCGGCAAGAACATCTCAATGCAAACAGCTACACCGACCGCACACGCAGACGACTAGAGTCATGCTTTGGAGAATTTAACACCTGACTTTGCACTGATTTACAAGATGCCACTGCATGCTGGAAAGCAGAGATCAGGCTTAGTAGTACCTCTACACCTAGGATGGTGGGGGACCACAGAGGTGACAATCTTTGGACACGCATATATTAGGAATGCACCACAGCTAAATGGCATGGGCAGAGAGGCTACAAAGAGACATTAATTAGCGTATTATATCAAAATACACTCACCTATCTCTTGACTACATATTAAGCTTGTTAAACATAAAATAGCTAGTGCTAAAACACAGCGAAGGCTTGAATTCTTCCACATTCTTCTACCGTTTGTTTTCAGAATGACAACTTCAAGCAGGAATAAACATCATCTTCCGACAAGCTGGTCAATTCTAAAATAAAAATAAAAATAACCTTTGAAATCCCAGAGCTGGTCCTTCACAAACACCATTTTTTGTTCTATCTCCTTTTTTTCCTTAATACTTCCCTCAGGCCCAGTAACTCCTTTAGTTTCTTTGGCAAGCAAACATCTTTCATTGTCCCAACCACTCCTCGATGCATACTTTTTCAGTGAGGAATTTCAAAGATAACTTCAAGAATCACATATCTGTAAAATTCAACTCTACACAGACCTCCTTCAGGGCTATTTGAGGCCGGAACAGAACAGACATGGCAAGGTATTCTTCTAGAACAGGTCACAGAATCCAGAATGGCTGAGGTTGGAAGGGACCTCTGGAGATCATCTAGTCCAACCCCCCCTGCTCAAGCAGGGTCCTCTAGAGCACATCGCCCAGGATCGCATCCAGGCGGGTTTTGAATA